TTCTGATTTCTGATTGTAAATAATTCTGCAGCTTTCTCACTTCTACATTATACATTTTGTGTTCATAATTGTGCAGACTAGTGGTGGATAAATCTGAAGACAATCATTTCTTTTTGGTCTTTCTATGAAATATGTATCTAACATTAGTCAGTTTTTTTCTAATGCTTTTTTTCCAAATGATGTTAACTAATGAAGGGAACTAATTTGAAAACATGAATTGTTTGTGAAAACAGGAAAGGAAGAAAAGGGAATTTTTGCGGAAAAAAATGATGCAAAATATTATGACTATTATTGTTTTACTCTTTGATCTGATACTTCAAAGGATCTCTGTATCTCTAACTGTAGTATTTCAGTAATTAGATAAATTCAGCTCTCTGATATATTCTTTCTGAGTAGTTTTCAATAACTTCTAACTCAATTTATTTATTTACGATAATTTCAAGGATAGGGATAGAACAAAAAAGAGCAAAAAAGAGCAAACAAAAGTAGAATGATTTATGTGATTGTTTTTGTTGTTTTTTTTTGTTTTGCAGAAATGGTAATAAGTGAGGAAGGAAAATGCTGTCTACTACTACTGCTACTACTACTCTGTGAACACAGTGAGTACCGGAAGTAATTTATTCAATTCACTTCTTTCTCTACGATCATTGTTATGACATCCTTCTCAATTGACGTACTAATGGTCAGTAGTAGATTTAGTCCGTTTTAGAAGAAAAAAGTGAACCATTGTGTGTGTGTAGGCTTAGTGAGAAGTAATGAGGTAATGTTAACAACTGTGTCTTAGAGAAGTGAATACACCTCACTTCTCAACTGCAACTGTAGTCTGATTGATCTATAAAAGAAAGGGTTATTTCTATTGGTCAGCTGGACATTTTATTACGAGATTGGTACTAGATTGATTGATTGTGCAATTCTGTTTGTTTATTACGATAAGTCAAAATATTTAAAAAAAATGATGACCCCTGATTAAGTGTGCCTTTACATAGGTGCGTGAAATGTGCTCCCAATTAGATTTTGTGAGTAGTATATAAAGAGACGTTCATCAGCATAAACATATCGAATAGTGGAGAGACATAAATGACGTCAAAGAGAACAAATGAACCAGTGTTGCTGAAAAACGTAGGCGACACGAAAAGAAGACAATGAAACACAGTACGAAGGGCAGAGGTAATACACCATGGAAGATCTGTGCGAATGATCATCTGCAGATGAGGTCACATAATTCCGCTATACAAAGATACCAAATTTCAAATAGACATTCCGTTACCAAGTTTCTTGTCTTCTGCCGTTACAGGCGCACGTCTTAAGTAATGAAAGAAGACATTCCGCGAAAAAGTTGGTTATCATTCCTTAATGCTCATCAGATATGCAGATGTACTTATATTTTGATTTGACACTAGTAACTAGTGTGATGCATCTAGTCCTCTCTTTGGTGCAGACTGAATTCTATCAGTCAGGTTGTAATGTGGCCACCATTCTAGGTAGCTCGTCATCACGGTGTACATTGTTTGTGATGATATTAGATGGTTGGAGGCAATCGGCAGGAAGCCTTGGACCTGTGATGGCGAGCAACCTAGAATGGTGGCCACATTACAACCTGACTGATAGAATTCAGTCTGCACCAAAGAGAGGACTAGACGCATCACACTAGTTACTAGTGTCAAATCAAAATATTCACTACAGACCTACAGGAGGTCGATCGCGAGCCCGAATAGCTCAGTCTCTGACTGCAGCACTGGGTGACGCGGGTTCGAATCTCAGAAGGGACATCAGTTCCTTCAAGGTTGCAGATACGCCTTGCTGAAGAGTGCCAACCAGCACGAAACCTAGGTCCGAAGCTTCCTGCCAATTGCCTCCAACCATCTAAGATGTACTTATATTTTGTGCTGTCAATTGTTCACATTCTTAACATTCTAACCAATCTTTTTCACTACTACATATTATAATTTTAATTTGACCTTTGACCCGAAATATTTCTAGAATAGTGCCAATGCCTATCTTCTGTTTATTACACTTAGTAATTTTATTAATTTGACCTTTGACCAGAAATAATTCTGTAACTTTCTCACATATTCAATATAAATATACGATTGTACAGCCTAGCTGATGACTTCGTCGAAAGGAAAATTTTCTTCGCTGCAACCGTCTGCTTAATAATTCCTATGATTCAATGTGTATGCTCCGTGATGAATATTTGAAGAGAAGTCCATTTAGAAAGAACATCTAGACGGGTCAGCGCAACCGTTTCCGTTATTTCACGCTATTTCAATTTAAAAGTTACTTAGTTAAATATCTTAGCTGTAGATTCAGACGATTGCATAGATTTGAATATGTCTAAAATGAAACTTACATAATAAGAAAATGACTATCTAGAGAAATTCTTGAAAACGTACATATCAGGTCCCAGATATCCATTAATTTTAGACTCCATATATAAGGAAATGTTATACCTCAAATTAAGTTACAAGGATGAAATTACCGTTCATATTCTAAAATATCGGCTGAACAGAATCGCTGAGAGAACATTCACTGCAACTGAACGTCTACTCATCTTGATGGTATTATCTACTGGTTGACTGAGTTGAGTAGCTAACTAACACTCACATCGAACAGTAATATTTCTTAGCTAAAAAGAACGGATATAAGCATCAGATGACTAGTTAGCTGGCTTAAGACCCAACCCATCAGTAGTGTACTTAGAATACTGAATTGAACTGGTGCTTGGGAATTTAAATCCTCATTCCATCCCTTTCATTTCCCCCCATTTTTCACTGACACACCTTTTTTTCAGATGCTTTATGATTTATTGACCTTTTCTATTAGGCGTAGTGTTTACGTTGTCATTTTGTTTCCACAATAGGAAACCTCTTCAGTTTTTGATAATCGGTCACTAATCGTCTTACTATATTCATGCCACATGGCACCATTGTTACTATTTTATCCTTATAACTGTTGTTTATGAACCCTTCAAAATTACATCAATTTATTTATATTTTCAATAATACCACTGACTGTGATGCACCCCTTGAAACTTGTACTTTAGTTGATTACAAGTACACAAACAAGTCACTGAACGATACAACTTTATCTCACGTTTGTTATGCACTCGAGCTATTATTGAAACTAACTATTTGCTATAGTTGGTTTGGAAGGATTAGTTTTGTTTATACCAGTTTGACCACGGATTGATATCAGTTAGAGAACTACTGAAAACCATGGAGTGCTGGACAGCTGTTTTATCCTAGTTTGGGAATCATCGACAGTACGCACCCACTGGGGTTCAAACGGAGGACCTTCTGGTTACAAGGTAAGCTCGTATACCATTCGGCCACTGGGGCCCGATTCAATAGCTAGCCTATGAATTCTAACTTCTACCAATTCGTGATTTAGCACGACCCCAGCAGCTGTCCAGTACTCCGATGCTGGTTTTCAGTGGTACTCTAACTGGTATCAATCCGTGATTAACTCGTAAAGACAAAGCTGACTATTATTATCATCATTATTATTCCATTTTGTACCTGTACCATAGTACACTTACTAATATAATTTTAATCTGTCTTTACTGGATATACTGTATGGTAACACTGATATATTTATAACTGTAAAGCTTGAAGAGGGAGTTATTGAGAATAACTGTTCACTGTAATTATTCTTGTTCTAAATATCTGTATTATCTGGAAACACAAGCTAATGTGTTCACATCCACAGTAAGATAGTAAGGAATGGAATGTGTTTGAGTGAAATTTCACCTTATCGTTAGAGAAGTGTTAGTTTTCAGGGATTTAATCGGTTACAAATTTGACCAAGAACTGACATTATTTAGAGAATCACTGGAAAACTAGGTAGTACTGGACAGATATTTCGTTCTAGTTTGAGACGCCTCAGCAACCATGAGCCCATGAGGTCTAACCCAGGCACACTTGCACCCTCTAACCACTGGGACCCAATCCAGTGGTCGATGAATTCCAGCTTCTGACAATTCACGATATTTAGCATAACCGTCAGCCAACGTAATAGGGGAGTAAATACCCTCTTGACAGAATCAACTGGCCTCTCTGTTCATTGCAAAACTTACGGAGATACAACATCCTCTGCAGCTAACCCAGTGGAAGAAAACTTCATCATATAGACAACAACAAATGAGTCAACAACGTATATGTTTCTAGGATTTCCGGCACGCTTCAAAAAGTCGAAAGTTAAAACTACTGTGTTCTCTCCGTTTTCACAGACTAAATACCATTACTCTATATTATGAGTTAATAAACATAAAGTAACCATATGCGCGTCGGTGGCACGGCGGTAGAATGCTCGCCAACCACGCAGGTGGTCCGGGATTCGAATCCTGACCAATGCACTCATTTACCTCACTAGGCCAGAAATAAGACTGGTGAAGAGGGAAGGTTATGTATGAGGCTAGCAACACCATCCTGTAAAAATGAACACCAATGCTGCCGAAACTTAAGCCTCAAGCTTGAATCCCTATGTTCCACTGGGAAAGTAAAGGAATGAAAAAACCACATGTAGAATTCATCATCAACCCATATCAGTTAGGGAATCATTGAAAGTCACGAAACACTGGACAGGTGTTTTATCCCCACTTGGGACTCCTCATTAGTTCTCGCCCGTAACTCCACAAGGGATCGAACTCTGGACACCAACGTTACAAGGCCAAGCCACTGGGTCATAATTAAATGACCTGTGAATCCCAACTCTGTTGCTTAATGATATGGTGAAACGCACTTGTTACGACTGCTTATAAGAATTTCAGAACACCTATCTTATAGCTATTAATAAGCTCGGGATTTAAATTGAGACCTTAGATTTCATAAGGATTTCAATAAACTACAATGTCATGAACCGATATTAGCAATTGATCTCCTGGTGGAATCGTTTGTTGAAAAGAAAACTCACAATAAATAGAATCGTATTAATACAACCGTTACACTCAAACTAGTCCAAAAAAGCTACAAATCAGTGAACAGTGTTCGCTAAAAACTAACCTTCATCATTAAGATTAATGTATTAATTGCAATCATAACCATTATGTAATATTCAAATGGAGTAGAAACAACAAGTCGCCAAACACGATACTTCATTGAATGTTTATCTTTGGGCATATATCGACATAATGGTCTTGCATTGATAGCAAAATCAATACAGCGTTTCTACAATATGACAGGATAAAAAAAAATTAATACAATTTATGAAGTGGAAAAAGTTCTGACATAAAACTGCCATTTCACATGCACCTGTATCAATAAGTACATTGGAAAGATTGACAGGAAAGCCTTCACTAGGGTTTCTTAGTATACCTCCAACAATCTTCATATAGAAAGCAAGAAAGTGTTTACAAGTCCAATCGCTAGCACCTAATTTATGCAGGACATTCAATCGAAATCAATTGAGTCTTCAAAATAATCAATTTACATGGCTTCTTCGCTTCTCAGATGCCAATGTTATCAAAGGAATTCAACGTAATCCCTGTATACTGAAAGATAGATTGATTAGAGGTCAGAATATTCTGGTCACTAGATGCCTCAGCTGTGTTTTTCTGCGTTGCATCCAAATTTCTTTTGATCACAGCTCACTGAGCTGAACTCAATATTAATTTTCCAATTCACTTGACTGTTCATTTACTTAATAATTTTACTTTCATCTGCCATTTCCCTTCATTCCCACCCTCTCCTCTCCATCCATAGTGTTTAATTAAACTCTGGGTTTTGGATTGTTAACTATCTATCCCTTGTTGATAGAAGATGGTCGGAGGTTATCACCTAAAAGCCCTGGATCTAGGTTTCGTGCTTGTTGGCACTCGTCATTTCTGAGGGAACACAGTCCTTTCTGAGATTCGAACCTGCATCATCCAGTAATGCAGTTAGAGATATTACTAATGCGTTAATCGGGCTCACGATTGACCTTCTGTAGGACTGTACTGGATACTTTGTCTGGACACTATTTAGTAACTAGTGTAGTATGTCTGGTCCTTTGTTTGGTGCAGATTGGATTCAGTCATTCAGGTTTGCATTGTGGGCACCATTCTAGGTGGCTCGCCTTCACAATGCACTTTGACTTTGCAAAACTTGTCTGATGGAATTCAGTCTGCACCAAACATAGGACTAGAAATACTAAACTAGTTACTAACTAGTAAATGAAATATCCCCATATTCAAATCAAAACAAGATTTTGAGCGAACAATTGTTTCCGACAACTTCTTCAGGCTCTACAGTTATAAATCCATGAATAATAGGGTACATATAGGCAATAAAGGTAAATGAAAGTAATATAAGAAACTGTATTTGGGTTCATGTGTAAGTTGAGATGATAGTCCATTAGTTAACATAATCAATCAAATGTGTATAGGGTATATAGTCAGAAAAATATGTGATGAAGTGTGAATGAACAATTGGGTGATATAGTGCTGTTTTATAGTCAACAGAATACAAGTGTCATTGGGGTGAGAGGAATGCGATAACCACAAAATGCATACAAACACACATTAACAAAGGGGACACTGAATGTGAGTGCTGACCGATAATGTCTAATGCTAAGATAAAGAGGCTAAATTGTAAATTGTAATAAGATGTTAAAGAATTGGTAGGCTTAGTATAAAATTACAAAGGTTGACAAAATTAAGGGTAACAATGAGGTGAAATACACTGGGTGGAGAAATGGATAATAAAGACATGATATCACAAAATGATAATAATGGTAATAATAATACGGAAAATTATGATCCTAGTGACCTTATAGTGGGCCAGGGTAGACAGAGAGAGTGAATAAGTTTTTTCTGTACACATAAGTATGGTCTTTCTCTATTAATCTCTAAAGCCTCAGCTATGATTGGGTGAAGTAATCGTGTGCCTGTGGGGAGACTGTTCGGTACTCGATACACAACTCATTGTTACTCTTAATTTTGTCAACCTTTATGATTTTATACTAAGCCTACCAATTCAGTAACATCTTATTACAATTTACAATTTAGCCTCTTTATTTTATCATTAGACATTATCGGTCAGCCCTCACATCCAGTGTCCCCTTTGTTAATGTGTGTTTGTATGCATTTTGTGGTTATCGCATTTCTCTCACCCCAATGACACTTGTATTCTGTTGACTATAAAACAGCACTATATCACCCAATTGTTCATTCACACTTCATCACATTTTTTTCTGACTATATACCCTATACACATTTGATTTACTAACTAGTGTCCAATCAAAACATCTATCCCTTGTTCCACAACTATACCCTCTGATTTGAAGTAATTTTGAAGTATATTCTATATTTTTGCATTTATAATAACTTGGCTCATCTTTTAGGCTGCTATTAGGTGACGAAAAGTCGTGAAATAAAAAACGAGCCCCATTCTTACCTGTAAAATCTGTTCATTCTCTCTTTTCTTTTTTTAAAAAACTGAGCACTTCGTAAAGAATCAAGGTAAATCGTTGCGATGTGTACCTGTACTCATATCATTTATTCAGTGAAAGTAAAGAAGTCAGTTACCGTTGAAATGACCAGTTGTTCTTGGTTAGAATTGTAGTTAGAACTAGTTGATTACAATTCATGTTAGGGTTACCGGTAGGGTTCCACTGAAGTAAAATTCACATCGTAATTCTACTTCTAACTTCTTACATAAAAGTTAATCTTTCATTGCTCATCTCTGATGATAAAAATACCACCGTATGTTTCAAAAATGCCATCAAGGTCACGAAAGCATCTGGAATCATTCAAAAAACCGGAAAACTCTCTAAAACATACGGATTCCTGGCGCTACTCTAAATTTCCTTTAAACTATTTATTTCTGCAGATGAAACTACTTGTTCTTTATTGGTGGATTCAAAGTTCTCTGAGTAGTTGTAGAATTTTTTTCAGTTCAAAGCAAAGAAACATCAAAATTTTGGATGTGTTAAATGACCTAATAAACGACCCATACGAGGTAGCCGACTATTGATACACAGTATGTCACTAAACTATTCCGATACTGATATTTGAACTATAATTCTTTTTAAAACAATTAGTTACCTTTATGAATTCAGATAAAGCAATAAGAAGACGTAATTTGTCTGAATCGTGTAATGTATTTGCGCAACACATTTCGAACAATCTGACCACACACGGACTTGTCATAGAAACATATATGAAATTAAGGACAGTATCTTAATTACCACAGTTTCTGCCCTGTTCGGTACAAAAGAGCCTTAGTAAGGTGACTCTTCAGTAGAATCCAACGAATATTCACTGAAGACAGACTTGATGAAGAAGAAAGAAAGTTGACACAAACTCTGGTTGATAACAATTATCCAGACAAGCTCATCAGGAGATATAAAGTAGTCATAACACCAAGACCCACTCTCCAACTCGCCCCTAAGAAAGAAGTGTACATCAAGCTACCCTATATGGGGCATCATAGCAGCTTGATAACTAGACAAAGACTGAACGCTGCTGTCAAAAAGACTTTTTGTGCAGCCAATGTCATATTAATAGAGAATGTAAAGCCAATATATTATTCCAGGCCCTTCGAACATGCAAAAAATTATGCCATATCCCACTGTATTTAATAATTTGAATGTACGTTTAGACACACATAAATAGGGAGGACTCATCGATCTCTGCAAGTAAGGGCTGGCTTCAGAGAATATTCCTGAATGGCTCCAGAAAGAAATGGAATCTTCAGAACCTATTAACGGTGAGAACAGGAGACCTAGCTCTTCTATTGCGAAATATATTATAGAGACAGGACATAAAATTGACGTTAACAGATCTTTTAAACCTATCTATGAAACGTGTTTGAGGCGTATCCTAAAGTTTTTGGAAGTCCTAGCAGTTAGAAAGTTTAAGCCACCCTTATGCGTTCAAAAACAATTCGTCATCACATTAAACCTTCCTTGGTAAATTTTGTTTTGATACCATAGCAGATGTACTATTACCTCTGTTATTTGGTTAAGTGGTCTTCATTGTTACTTTGACCTTGAATATGTCCTTTTAACTTGATGTAAGTCTATTTTCTCACCTCTTACGTCTTTATTAATTTCATATATATTCCTATGACAAGTCCGTGTGAGATCAGATTGTTCGAAATGTGTTGCGCAAATACATTACACGATTGAGACAAATTACGTCTTTTTATTGCTTAACAATTCTTTTGTAGTCTTATGTATACTTGAATATCTTTGAAGCACGCAGGAAATTCAAGTCTTGGTTTCCAGGGATTTGATTTGATTGGTTACAGGATTTCATGATGAACTGATATTGCTTAGAGAACCATTGGAAAACCAGGCAGTACTGGACAGCTGTTTTATCCTATTTTTGGACTCTTCATCAGTACTCACCCAGGAAACTGTCAGGAAAATGGTCAATTTTTTTAGAAGTAAACAACTATTTGATTAAAACACTGTGAATCTAGTAGGAAACAAACAATGGGATGTCAAGTGAATTCAAACTCTGAGCCACAATTATTCTCCATTATTTCAAAGGTGTAGCGATTATTCATTAGTGCTAAGCAGAATTTAAATGAATGGCGAAAGAGAGACATAAGACTGTTTTGTATTCAACGATTTGATTACAGCACACTAGCTGATATTTTTGTCAAAAATGTCTTTTGTTTTTTAACATGTGTAATAACGCATTCATTTCATAGTTAGTAAGGAGTTGGTAAGCTTCTGTGACTGAGGTTTCGTTTTTGTGTACTTTTGAGTTTTGTACGATAAGGAAAGAGGTGAGAATTCACAGAATGAATTCTAGTCACGCTGTTGAAATGAGAAAAAAACACTGAAAGTCTATGTTGTTTACCTCTTCTAGGTTATACTGTTTCGTGACGAAGGGGACATTGACTTAGGCAACATTTTATGCATCGTTAACAAATAACCGAAGGTAATAATATGTGATCAAATAAATTGAATACTAATTGGTCTGGCCTCATAAAATGGAGGGTCCATTTTCGATTCCTGGTAGTATTGTGGATGCTTATTTCTAAATGGTGCCAATTCAGGGCCAAACAGCTAGCCAGTACTTCCGGGTTTTCAATAATTCTCTAATTGACAATCGTTTGTGATAAAACCTACATTATGGTTAATCCACATCCTTAGGAAACCTGTAACCTAAATTGAAGATGCCTGCAAATGAATGTATAAAGTAGTTCAGTGTAGAGACATGCTAATATTTTGATCC